GGAAACTGTAACTCATAAAAACACTGTTTTATCTACGTAAATATACTCCTGTATTTAAACAAGGTTTTTGATGATTATGAAATACCAGATGCTTAAAATAAGCAAAAATGTGATAGGTAGTTAATCAGTTGTGCTAAGTACTGGAACAGTTTCAGCTGCTGTCGTGTGAACTTGAATTCGACTTATATGTTATAGACATTGAAAGAATTTCAATTTCAAGAGCAGTTAGCTACCACTGGATGTTTAATTCACGTAACTGAAACGTTGGTTTTGGACACATATATAATTGTGTACATTATTTCGTTTGAATATTTAAAAACAATCACAATGAAGCCGTAAAAAGGTAAAAAAAAAAAAAAATATATATATATATATATATATATATATATATATATATATATATATATATATATATATATATATATATATATATTGGTATATATATATATATTGGTACATTCACATCGACCTTCTATATTTTATTTATTACCGATCCTCTTTCCATTAGTATGTTGCATTACTTCATGGCTATTGACAGTATTTATACCGTGGCTGGGCAAAGTTTATCATAAAACGAATTTCTTTTCTTGCATCTGACTAAATATCTTTACAGCAACTTTTGCATTTTACAGCATCGATTACACGCGGAACAGAAATAAAATTAAAACTGAAAACTGCATCAATTTCCGTCATCTTTTCTCAATGTGAGATGAGTACGCTGTGCTTGCTTGTAGAACAGGAATACACAAATTTAGGTATGTGAAGACCTGTGATTAGATCACAATACCATGCTGCTAATTATTTATGTCACGTACTGCTCAAATTATATGTATATTGTCCTGTGCCAAAACCCAGAACTTGTAAAAACATATATCTTCTCAATTTGGCAAAAGAGACACGAGATGATAAAGCATAGCAGACAAACCACTGATACTGGGCGTTTGAAATGAATTTTTACAAGTAATAATTTAGAGAATCAAGTTTTAAAGAAGTCTTTTATACACACCTAGATATATCATGTGGCTGGGCGATGTATGATTATTCTACAATAAATTATGCCCGACAGGGATATATGCCTCAGCTGCATATAAATACAACTGAGAACCAGGCACGGGTAGGGCAGCACACCCACTGGACCGATTTTTTTGCGGACATGTAATACATCGAACGGGCTTTACCACCTCCCCCCCCCCCAAATTATTAAAATATCAATTTTTCCATTAATGTTTTACTCTGCACATATTTTTCATCAAAAGATCAAGACATATCGTTTCTTGAGAAATAGGAAACTCTCCCCACCCGTTCCACAATCATATTTACTTTTTAATTAACATATTACTGTGAACGAGTTGGGTTGGGTGGCGGCTAGTACCTGTGTTAAAATCTGAAATTTAACTGAAGAGAATTGTTAAATATTGTCTATGTTGGCACTGAAATGGTTGATAGGCTCCTAAAACGCAATTTTAACTTTGCACAGCTAACACAATTTCCCGCCATCGCTACCCAATGAGGTATAGTATTGCATCTCAGCATTAGGGGATTCGCC